CAGGCTCAAGAGGTGCGCCAAATAGCGTACGATTCGTACGGTACGAATGTTAGTGTTAATGATTACACATATGCTCATAGTCCGAGAAAGTCTTCCAGGGAGGTGGAAGGAGACTCGTAAGGCTCTTGCCAACTCTGCTTTCCCGAGTCGGGAAATCCCGACCGTTGCTGGCTCTGATGATTGCTCTAACCCTTAGAGTCTAAGGTCCAAGCTTGGAGAATGAATTCGCTCAGGTTGGTTTCCGAGAGGCCACGAAAGGCCGCTAGGACGGACGAGAAGCACGACGTCCGGGAGGAGCTCGCGTTGTTAAGTTCTCCGAACGAGGACTCTCAGTCTCGCTACCACGAATATCTGTTCAACAGATATTCGTAGGCAGATTTTGTTGATTCTCTGGAATGTTGCTCGACATCACTTGAACCGGGGTTCCAAGTAGCCATTTACTACCGATCCGCTTCTCTGGCAGAAACGCGAACCAAGAACCGACTAACCTCGTGTTCGAAAGTTACACATAGAATAAATGTGAAGCATTGATGTATAACACATTAAGCATGCAAGGCGAACTCGATAAGACTTCAAGTTACGAACCCTGTTCACCCAGTGACTCGGTAGGCCAACAGACTGACCGAGGGGCCTCGCTCCGTGGGCAGTTGCGAGTCCACTGGACTCGCATGATAGTGGACACTTGGATATCCTTATCCACCTTAAGATATGCCTTGATACGATACATTGCTACGGTAGGGGCGGCTATGCCACCTTAAGATATGCCTTGATACGATACATTGCTACGGTAGGGGCGGCTATGCCACCTTAAGATATGCCTTGATACGATACATTCCTACAGTAGGGGCGGCTATGCCACCTTAAGATATGCCTTGATACGATACATTACTACAGTAGGGGCGGCTATGCCACCTTAAGATATGCCTTGATACGATACATTACTACAGTAGGGGCGGCTATGCCACCTTAAGATATGCCTTGATACGATACGTTACTACAGTAGGGGCGGCTATGCCACCTTAAGATATGCCTTGATCGGATACATTACTACGGTAGGGGCGGCTATGCCACCTTAAGATATGCCTTGATACGATACATTACTTCGGTAGGGGCGGCTATGCCACCTTAAGATATGCCTTGATACGATACATTACTTCGGTAGGGGCGGCTATGCCACCTTAAGATATGCCTTGATACGATACATTACTTCGGTAGGGGCGGCTATGCCACCTTAAGATATGCCTTGATACGATGCATTACTACGCTAGGGGCGGCTATGCCACCTTAAGATATGCCTTGATACGATACATTACTACGCTAGGGGCGGCTATGCCACCTTAAGATATGCCTTGATACGATACATTACTTCGGGTAGGGGCGGCTATGCCACCTTAAGATATGCCTTGATACGATACGTTACTACAGTAGGGGCGGCTATGCCACCTTAAGATATGCCTTGATACGATACATTACTTCGGGTAGGGGCGGCTATGCCACCTTAAGATATGCCTTGATACGATACATTACTTCGGGTAGGGGCGGCTATGCCACCTTAAGATATGCCTTGATACGATACATTACTTCGGGTAGGGGCGGCTATGCCACCTTAAGATATGCCTTGATACGATACGTTACTACAGTAGGGGCGGCTATATACTGTTGTGTATTCAAAATAACATTTTTATACACTATTTGACGTGTGTTCAATATTAATGTGTGTTATATGGTGACACCATAATGGTGTGTTCAATATTGGTGCGTGTTATATGGTGACACCATAATGGTGTGTTCGATATTATCCCCATATATGGCATCTTTATAACAATTTACCCCACTTACTCCATAGTGGAATCTTCACTGCTGCGGTTCCTCTGCTAAACGGTTACGCTCAATAGCGAACACACCATCCACAAGAGGCAGAAGAACAATCCCTTGCTTCACCTGTCATCAGGTTTCCAATCTTAAGCTTCGCGAGAAGATGCGCTGCAAAACACAAATATCGATTAGTATGGCGCAAGCGTATGGCAACAGCACGTACGCGCAAGTTGAATTGAGGCTATTGTTCGTTGGTGGTTCATTAATTGACTCGATTGAGCTCAGTGCCATTCAGCATCAACCTTCTTTTCCCTCTTGTCCATGATGATCTCTCGAGTTGCCGTCCAGTATGCTCCCGTGGTTGCTACTCGAGCCGTAGCTGCCAGGTCGTTGGGTGAGTATCCTTGGCTTTACTCTCCACTTCACATAAGCTTCCTTTTAGGTCTAATGCGGATGTCCTCGGTGGCGTTCTCGAGTCCTGCATGTGCCAAGTTGAACAAGTCTCTGGGGTCTGAACTCCAACATGAGAAAGAATCGTAAGAAAGATCACCATTACTTTTATGGAGTATTCTCATCAGTTACGAGCAACCCGCTATTTGCAAGCAATTCCTGGCCGATCAAACTTGGAAATTCGAAGAGGTTGAAGGTGATGTAAATATGAGCATCACCAGGCAGCTCCCGGGAGATAAGACCGCCGTCATTGAGTGGCAGCTAACCAGCCCTTTCAACGATGCTGGCTTCGATGGTATGGAAGGTAAGTCGTTGTTCTTGTTAGTGGACCTTCGATGTCGATTCATAGGTGAAGATCCCCAAGCTGAGGAGAACATGGAACCAGCTGAGGCTACTGATTTCACTGTGACTATCGAGAATAAGGCTGGACAGGGCCTCATCTTCTACTGCAGTAAGCACTCTGGAAATTCTCTTCCTGTGTAATGGCGTGTTCAGGTACAGCAGCTGGGGAAGGTCATCGTTATGTGATTGGAAACTGCAGGGCGTTTACTTCGGTTGCTGAAAAGGAATCAGCGTCGAGCTATAACGGTCCCGAGTTCGAGGATCTTGATGACAACATGCAAGAGGCTTTTGATGAGTATCTTGCCGAGGTTGGTCTCACTGATGGGGTGTGTGACTTTATTGATGCTACGGCTCTTGATAAGGAACAGAGGGAGTACATGAGGTGGCTGTCCCAATTGAAAGCCGTAGGCCATCGAATTCGGTTTGTTTGAGTTATTCGTTGTGGTTCAGGTTGTTGGTGGTAACTAGAAGAGATTAGTGTTTCTGAGAATGATATAGGTTTATTTCAGTGATTTAAAAAGTACGGTTGAGTTTTAAGTTAATTTAGGAAGCATGAATAGATCTTGTCAAAGCTGGATCAGCTCGGTGTTGGAGAGGAGGCTCTTACATGTGATTGGAAATGAAAGTTGTCGCAATGATTAAAGAAAATAGTTTTCGGACTAGTTTGAAGTTGACGTTTGTGTTGATTAGAATCGGCTAAGGAAGATATTTGGTAGACTTGTTTACTGAGCAAAAGCGATGATTTATAAATACAGTGGGAAGATATGCATATGATTAAGTGTGTTGGTGTTAATTTCAAGGATTTTTCGGAAATCATTGTTGGCTTCTGTAGAGTTATACCCGAATTCGTGTGTGAGATTCCGAGGTGGGGGGAGCGAGCATCAAGTTCAATAGAGTGAAAATTTCAGTATATTGTTAATTGAATTATATATATGGTAGAGTATAAGTTGTATATTAGATTCGACTATTATAAAATTACATTGAAAACTACTAAATATAGTATATTTATTACTAGTATGAAATGTATATCAAGTATACTTGCCCTCGATCAGTACAAATGTATTGAAATATTCAATATCGAAATTATTCTATGTTGGAGTTTCACAACCCGCTTTACGTGAAGTGGCGTAAAACTCGGCGAAAAACACGATATTCGCGGAGATAGTAGTTGTGAAATGTATTTTTCAATATTGTTTTTCATATCACTAGGGTGGTGAAACTCCAATGTTATATGTGAACTCCATGAAAATACTTCTGATCAGCTTGCCGGGTTCATCACTTTTCTATTGAGATGACTGATCCTCGTTTGAAGAGCATCCAAGCCGACCCTAGGAAGGAGTACATCGTAGAGGCGTGCATGGCCTTGCTTGGTATTGGTCAAAAGTATCGGAATATCTTCAGGTAGAGTGAGGAAGATACAAAAGAGGTCGGGTTGGTAAGATTCAAATTAGGTCCGATCCTGGGTCGAATGGCGAGTTGGAGAAATTTCTGGAAGATCTGAATTCTAAGGTCAGTTTGTTGGTCGTTGTGTGATTCCACCTGAATATCGTCATGAATTTAATTTTACCAAAATTTTGCGTAAAAATTTTCCAGAGTTGCGCAGTAGAAAATACACAGGATTCGATAAGATCAATCTCCCCATTTTTCCCAAAAAAATTACTGTAAAATTCACTTATGCGCAATAGAGCTCGGTGGGCGGCTACGTGTGTTGGTGGCAATCAGAGAATTCTGAGGAGATTATGTTGGTCTTTTGAGTAGCCATATGTGAATTCCTGAGCTCAGCTGAGGCAAGCAAACATATATATTCCAACGACACTGTTGAGTAACATTGAAAGGTCATTTTTCGTATCGGTATAGGAATTTACATTCTCTCGATAAGACTTCTTCTTTGCTCCTTGGCGGGTCTAATTTTTTCGGAAGTTTCTTATGAAAATTTAGATTTTTTTCCTGTAAATTTCGATTACTCGGTCCGAATGTTTTCGAGTTTTGGTAGTGAAAAATTATTTGTCAAGTCGATCGAACTCCCTCCTCTTCTTTTTTTCGTTGCGTCCCTTTGAAATATCTAGCGATTTTGGTTTTCGAATTTTCAGGTTCTTTTTGCCTCTGAGAATTCACTGGAGACCACCGGCGATTTCCGTAATGTGATTCTGTCTACCAAATTCGATGATCTGAAAGCTGCCACAGGAGGTATGTTATTGCCAAATCGATCACGTGATCGATTTGCTGTTCAACAGTTGTGATCGTATTCATCAAGATGGGTGTTGGTGAGATATCAGCGGATTCGATGAAGGCTCGAGTGATCACTACTACGTTGAAAGTTGACGATCCAGTGGAGGGGCTGGAGGGTGTTCTTAGGGAGGTTCATTCGAAGGTGGGCGTATCTTAGGTCGTTCTTGGAAAGATACGGATGAGGTCCACGAGGGTGTGATATACTTGCGCAAATTTTTGCTAGAAAAAAATTTCAGAAATTCCCGAATTTTTTCAGTTACTGGGTGACACCGAGGTTGGCGGAGCGATGTAAGGATTGTGTACAATTGTGAAATTTCCGGAAGTTTTGGTATTTTCAGCGAGAAGTTGATCGCCGGTTTGGAAGCAGGCTTAGTTCGTGAGTCGCAGAAGGGGCACAACTTTGGAGAGGATGAAATCGATCATGTAATCGATTTGGTTGAATACGTCGAGTCGTTGCTTGGTTTTAAAGACCGAGTAAAAAGTTTCAAAAACATTTTTTGCCGAAAATTATTTTTTTACTTGGCGTGCGTAGAGAAATCTATGTGGGGAAGGCGAGCGCAGTTTACTATGCGCATAACAGCACTCAAAAGTATGGGTTCATTGAGGAAAGTGGATGTGTAGATTAATGCGGCGAAGCGATGAGTTGGTGAAAACTGACAGATGGGGAGTATGTGCGCTGGTGTAGTAGATTATTTATTTATGTTTTATTAGGTTTATGGGAAATTAATAATATAAGGCTCATACCATAACTGATACCATGTTATTATAATATTTCGTATATAAACACCTAATAATATCTGTAATGATTAATTATATATAATTGAATAGTTGTGGTTTTGGGGAGTGATAGATAAATTGTGGTTTGCGATTTTTTGTATGATAAATTTGTGATGTTGGTTTTTTTATATGGGAATTCGCATTTTCCTATTGTCATCATCGTATGCAGTTGAGTAGGTTTTTCTACACAGTAGTTTTCTGTTAGATTATGATACCCTTTGACGAGGTCGCGTACTGGAAGCAACGCAAGGATGGCGGCCAAAGGGTGGGGAGGAGGAAACCGACGCGAGGGACGGTTTCGGCTCAGTTTTGCATGGAGGAGAAATTGTGCGAAATTCAGAATTTGTTTTTTAGAAGGGTTTCGTTTGTAGTTGAAGTTCTATGGTGGAAAATTGAAAAATAAGAGTGTTTATGTGAAGATGAATTTTCTCTGATTTGGAATTTGTTGATATCAGGTCTTGGAAATTGTCAAGGGGCTTTCAGAATGCCAAAAAATCGCGCCGACGATTTTTGAATATAAAAGGGAGAGAGGTGATAAACTGTGTTATAGCATGTGGTTTAGTTTTCGTGATGGAAATGTTAATTTCGTAGATTTAACGATAATATCGATGCTCTATCCTTGGTCTTGGGAAGTAGATTTTCATGTCTGGATTTTACAATACTTTCTTATGCGGTCTTACGACACCAGTGTTGGAGGAATGTATGTTTGTTTTTCTCAAGCTGGGTAGTTTCCTCATTGATTATAGGAGTTTACGTACGAATTCGGGTAGCAATTTTAGAAAGGAATTCTAAAGTGCCGTAGGATTTTCATATTTTCATCAACACATGTAGTTGGCAATGTGCATATTTTCTCACACAGTGTATATATATCGTTGAGTAGATCGTTTTATCGGTATTGTGATATGGTCATAATAGTAGTTTATAAAAATATGAGATATTAGTGTTTGGATTTTCATCGTGTGACTTGAATATTTCTGCAATATTTAAAACAAGCTCGATGACGTCGGCCTTGAATAGATTTTTGGAGTAGAAGTTGATTGCCATAAATTCAGTCGAAGTGGATGTCGTTATTCGCTGAATTTCCGAACTTATAGAATTTTGCAGTCTTGTTAGGATCAGCGTCTTCACGCTCTTTATCGGCTCTCTATGCGGAGGTGGAGGGGTTGGTGCCGCTCTTGGAGGGTATGTGTGTGGATGAGAATATGAAGCCTGGGTATCCGATCCAGAGGTTGAGGAGGTAAGATACGGATTAGGTTGGGTGGACGTAGTTGTTGCTGTATAGGTTGGTTTGGGCGGTATCGTATAAGATATGCGCGGAAGTGTCGTGGTGTTTGGGAGGAGAGGAGGGTATTTTTGGAGGAAAGGGTAGGAAGGCCTCTTCGGTGGCTGTTAGGGAAGCTCTTAAAGTGAGCTCGGGGGGGGGGGGGAATTTTGATTGGTTTTTGTATATTTCTACGCGAATGCGTATAATTAGCGAGGAAACTCCAGAGCTCAGTTGAGGAAGAAGAGCATGTATTCCTCTAACGCTGGTTGCGCTATCGAAGGGTTGTTGAATTTTAGTGGTGTAGGTGACCGAGAGGTGGTTGCAGAGTGTGCAAGAGGGGTCTCTGTTGGGTGAGTGTTCAATGGAGGTTACGAAAGAGGTAGGGTAGTCATGTTGTTGGTGAAACTTGTATGTGGCTGTGTGGTCTAGTGGTATGATTCTCGCTTAGGGTGCGAGAGGTCCCGAGTTCAATTCTCGGCACAGCCCTTTTCAGATTCTCGCTTCTCCTCTCCGTCTGGCGGACAGACTGCGCTGTGTTAACTCCCTACAACTCCAACAACAGCAACTGCGATCAATAGCCGCCGACCCGACGTCTCCCATCACCGTCGCGGAGGTTCAGTCTCTCACAGAAGAGCTCTCCGTTGTGGATATCCGAGGCCTCTTCGGAGTGAGTGATTACTCTGAAGCCCTCTGGGGGGAGTTTTTCGGTAAGTTCGCGCGGAGAGCGGAGCCTTTGGTGTTGAGGTTGAAGCCATTGATTGATGAACAGCTTGCTGTCCCTTGTGGTGACACGGCCACGCTCGTCGCTGGTGTCACCGCACGGTTTGGATCCATGATGGACTTTCCGATTCTGAGGGACAATCTGAAAAGTGAGAGGCAGACGATTTTGATGATGCTGCAAAGGGAGTTGGAGGAGCTAAAAGAGGCTCTCGGAAGGTCGAAGGGATACTTGGAGGAGTTGAGGGAGTTGGCGTTGATGAGGGGTAGAGTGGATTTGATAGCCTCTGGGGTGATGCCGACTTCGGGCTTCCTACGCGATTTGTCGGGAGCAGCTGAGATGGTAGCATCGTGTCGGGAAATGTATAGGTTGATGAAGAGCCGAAGGGATGCGCTTTTTGAGAAATGGTGTGCGGAGGTGACTCCTTCTTCCTCGTCGGTTTGGTTGGATGCATCGGCTGCGGTGATCGCAACGAATTCGGAGGGCGATCTTGAAGTTACTTTTAATAGTAGACTACTCCTTGCTACCCAAGAGGCTCGGGCGTTCACGAATGCAGGGTATAGGTTAACGAAGAATCTCTCGGCGGAGGTGGAGGCGGGGGAGAGATATTATCGGTATGCGGTGTCTTTGAGGGAAGTATGTATTTTCTATAATCAACTTTCATTGGATCTTCTACCATTTCAAAAACCAATGCTCTTGAGAGAGGCTCTCGCTTTTGAGGAGTTGTTGACGAAATCGAAGTTTTCCAGTTGGAAGGGTGTCGAACAACTTTGCATTTTTGTTGAGCGAGCTGAAGAGGGACGGAGAAAACTGAAGAAGTTGAATGACAATCTCAGGTCGACACATGAGCAGGTAGGTGGGTTGATGATGAAATCGATCATCTGGGCGTAGCGAGATTGCCGTGTTCAGATTTTAAGTGGAATTATCGGCCTTTGTGAGTTGTCGTTGCTACGGCAAGGGGAGCGTTGGAAATCGGTGTTGTCGGAGCTTCAGCGGAAGGTTGAAATTGCTGCTGAGATGGTCGGGGCTTCGGAGAAGGTGAATCGGAAAAGTTTGAATTTTTCCTCAAAATTCGTCAAATTTTTGTGATTTTTGAGGAAAATTATTAGATTATATTATTATGTTATTATATTTTAATTTTACTCGCTAGTTTTTTATGTGTTTTTTTGTGCGAAATTTTCGGCGGATATGATATTTTAGGATTCTTCGACTCTGTTGTGGCGAGCGCATTTAGACCGACAGTTGCAAGCCGTCGTTGAAGTACAGCTGATAAAAGGGCTTCAGACGTTTAGTAAAACGTTGCCGGATGTAATGGGTGAAAAATCACCAATTTCGGAGTTTTCCTCCCACTTTCAGATACGTGTTGATATTCTATCGAGCGGAAAGAGGGTAATTTTGAAACCGCCGATGGAAGAACTTCGGAAGGTTATAATCGATCACGTGATCAATTTGAACGAATTTTTTTGTTGTTAGAAATACTATCGCGAAGTTTTGAAATTTGTAGGACGAGTTGGTGGCATCAGAGGCTTTGGAGGAGTCCCCAGAATTTTCAAGAAAACTACGGAAGGTGATATTGTTTGCGCCGCACAGCGAAGAATATCTTTTAGTATCTTCCGGCGTGAGAGAGGCTTTAGTGTTGGCCTATTCTCAAGCGGAAGACCTATTTGATAGGGTCGAGAGGGAAAGAGGTGAAGTGGAGTGCTGAAGGGTAGAAGTGTCCTTACCGGGGATCGATCCGGCGACCTT